ATCATATAAATCATATAAACATACATACGTGAGGAGCTGTATGTCTTTGCGTGAAGGCCAGAAGAGAAACGGTTCGACGGCTCAACTGTAGGGTCGGCGCGATAAGAATGATGTATGGCCGCTTTTACGCCTGCTTCTGCCCGACGCCTGATGCAAGGCGGCGATAACGATGGTACGAAGCTTGCTGTGCAAGTGCTTGCTGCCACATTGCACCCCTCCCCAATTGCTCACGTCAATGGTCGCTCCTTCATTCGCTTCTCTGGAAGAACAAAGTTTACCAAGTGTCTGAAGTGAAGCCTGAATCAAGCGATCAAGCGTATGCGGGATGGACTCTGCATGGTAACTCTTCCTGTCAGTAAGCTTCAGGCTGCTTCATTGAGTGACAAGTTGCGCAAACCTCTTCACGAGACAGCAGTCTTGTCCAGTCTTGGCTGCAAAGCGCTTCAAGTCCACAGAGGCCACCTGTCGATAAACCTCATAGCCACGGCCTGATCACGAACCAGCAATACTCTGCATCATGGAGCAAGAAGACAACAGGATGACAGGGTTGCTCGATCCCAGTTATTTCCAAGCACTGGACCTGGTCTGGGATTTATTCTAAGCGATAAATAAAATGATGAGCAGTCTGCACATGGGCGCTTGCTCCAACGCGCGGCTGTGCTTCAGAGTTGATTCCACTGGGTGCCCCTGCGAACGCTTGGGATCTCGTGGGCATGGAATATTGATTTCACCCAAAAAGGGTATCGCCTCAGTGAAAGTAAACCGCACTTGCACTTTCATGTCTGCAACGAACCCAAGCAAGCCTAAGCTGAGAACGGGGGATGCGGCGGATCCTTGTCGTCACCTGCAGGCGCAATGACAACAGTATGCCACAAACTTGGATGGGCGTCCACGGGCTGGCGTCCCGCATTCCAGGTGCGCTTTAATCGGCACATGCAAGAACACTTTTTTTTTGTTCTGGGGTGCAAGCGTCCACGAGCCGGCTAGGGCCGGACTCGTGCCGGTCGGACTTCGATCAGCTCGACAGAGGAGCTGTGCATCCAGGTGTCGAGCCTAATCGGATGCTGTACATAGAAAGTCCTCCAAGCAAGCGGAGGTACGGGCCGAGAGGAGAATGCTTTCTTTCTCCAGAGTGCTGGCCTGAGCGAGAGCCTGGTGCCAGCCCGCGCGTTCTGCGCCTTGGGGGCGTGCTCGCCGAAGCCGATTTGCACATTCGTCAGCCGCCTGGTTCAACGAGCGGCATGGTCCAGCCTGGAGTGGAAGCGGAGGCGCCCATCCGGGCATTTTCCCATGGCTTGGAGTCCAAACCATCTGCCAGGAAATACCTCGTCGTCGGGCGAGCGAACCTGCCCGTTGTGCTTTTGCTGCTAAGATACAGTATTGACTCGTCGCAGGACAGCAGACTGCTTTCGTCGCCGATTCGCAATCCACGAGGATCGTCACTTGCCGAGGTGGACGGGCAGTGAGCTCAAGAGCTTCAAGTACACCCAGGATACCCAGCAACTCCATACGAAATGGAGTTTGGTCTTCGCTGGAGTCAGCACCAGCTATGTCAAGGCGAGGGTGTTGACAGACTGCAGCAAACGCCCCTATGCCCTGCTCGCTGGAGCCGTCCGTCGCGAACAGGAGGTCGAGCTGGTTCTCTGCAGCAGCCTGCTCAAGAAGGTGTAACACCTGAGGTTGTAGGGCCTGCACGCCTGTCGCGGGGGCAGGCGGGTACTCCAGGATAGGTCGCCCCAGCAATCTTTCCTCGACCCTGTCAACCGGAGTTGGGAGTCTGGTTCGCTCCTCTGCGAAGTTTGGGCAGCTCCAAAGCAGGTGGGCTCGAGAGGGCCAGAGCTTCGAGCAAAGACACTGCACAGGGCCAGTCAGCGAGTGCCTGGTACTGAAATGCCAGCCGGTGCCACCACAGGCCAGGGCAGCATGCTTTTCCGCACGAGTGGTGGCTTTGGCATATACCTGCCTGTGACCATGAAACGCAAACCTAAGACAACCCGCGGGGCGGGGGAGGTCTAAACCAACCGCTAGGGAGGGGTCTTGGCGGTGTTGCTTTCTACGGACTCGGCCACACCTATGGGTGGCCTCTGCTTTGTGGGCTTCGGTGAGCCACTGTTTGAGGACCTCAGGGGAGTCCTCGCCAAATCGGTAAGTGCGATGGCGGCCAGCATCGTCAACTCGCTCAAAAGCCCGGCCTTGAGGGTCCAGTCGCCACTGGAGTTTCTGCAGGGTAGAACTGGCCCCAGGGAGACTCGAAGTGCGAAGAAAGGCAAGCTCTTGCAAGGAAAGGTGCTCATGCCAGTCAGGTTGTTGCACAAGGGCCCGAGTCAAAGCCGCAAGAGCACTCCAGTCGGCGACCCAGCTCACATCCAAAGTCCATCCGAGGACCTGGCCAACAAGGACACGAGGGGCCTCATGGGTCAAAGAGACCCGCAGCACGGCCGCGATACTTTGCGGGGAAGACCAGAGATCTGATCACCTGTCTGCGAACCTCAAAAGGGAAGGCCGGGTTGGCCGTATGTCTCAGGCGCACCTGTAGCTTGTGCAAGCTGAGTTTGAGCGGCACGGCTTCGCCCGAATCCAGGCAGAGCTCGACTCCAAGGTACTGCAGAGTGGGGCCAATCTGGTAGCCCCGAGCTTCTGCCTCAGCACGCCAAGGGCAACAAGGTTGGGTAGTGACCAAGTGGCACTTTCGGCAACTGCAGGTGAGCCCGGCAGCGGCATCAAAAGAGTCGCTGCGACGCAAAGCATTCTGCGCATCGATCTTTGACTGGTCTTGCCCGGTAAGCCAGAGAATCCGATCATCAACATAAATGCCCGCTTCCACTCCCGGTTTAGTCACATGCTGGGCCCAGAGGAAGCCAATCGTCAAGCTGAGGAAAGGGGAAAGCGGGCAGCCTTGCAGCAGGCCGTGGTGAGAGCGATGCCACCTTTCAGACGTGTACGAGTCCACCGTAAAGAGTCGCAGTTGCCGACTGTAAAAGACCTCAATCAGGGGAGCAAGGGTCGGAGGGGCTCCCAAATGGGCCAGGGCAAGTTTCAAGACAGGCACCAATAAAGAGTCGAAGAAGGCACTGATGTCTTGCTGGAGGTAGGAGCGCACTCCAGACTTCCATGCACACAGCAAACGACGGTGCATGTCGATTGGCGAGCGGCCCGGGGCAGAGCCGGTGGCCCTGTGGTCGCACCATTGGCAAATCCAGCCCTTGAGACGACGAGCAATTACCCTGGCTCCGGCTCGCCAGACCAGAGGGAGTAAGGCGATCGGGCGAGAGGCACTGTGACCCTTTTCCAGAAGGACAATGATCGACCGTTGCCAAAGGCTCGGGATCGTGGCAGTGCGAATCACCTGGGCCCACAAGGCGGAAAGCGAGGTCCAGAACGAGTCGGGAAGCCTCAAGAGAAGGTCCCCGGTCCAGCCGTCTGGACCCGGTGCACGCTTCCGCATTTGCTTGGTAGCCTTGCGAAGTTCAGTGGGGTTCGGCTCAAGGTCAAGGTGACAGGTCGGGTGACTAGGGATGTCCTGCAGGAGTTTCGCAAACTGAAAACAGTCGGGTGGCGTGGTGGGAGTTTGCCACTTGCGAGTCCACTCCTCGCCTTGCAGTTGCACACGTTGCGCCGGGTGAACCTGGGCAATGGGCACCTCCTGGAGAGGCGAGGGGGACTGCGTGCGAAGCTCCAGGTCAGCACGATTTTTAACCCAAGCGAGGGCCGCATCAGAAGAGAGCGCGGTTTTCTCCTTCCACCTCTGCAGGCAATGCTGGCGATGCTGTTGCTGCAAGGTATCAATGATGCTGTCAACGCTTGCCCTGGCATCGACTGGGCTGTCAAGGTCAAGGTGTGGCAAGTCGGGGGTCAACGCCCGGACTCTGCGAAGTGAACGAGCGATGCTAGAGAGCAATTGGGAGTCCCACGGCTGCTGCTCGAGCTGGCTTAAGCGGCGAGCGAGCCGGCGAAGGGCGCTCAAAGGGGCAGGCTCGTGCCCTTCTTTGCCTGGGGTGCCACAAGGAGTGGGACGAGGAGTCGGAAGCCAAGCGGCACTGCGGGGGCAAGAGGGGGTCGAGATACCCAAGAAAACCTCGGCCCAATCAGAGAGGCAAGTCCAAGCTTTGTCCAGGTGCCCAGCAGCAAGATGTGCAGAGAACTCTGGGCCAGGGCCTCGGAGGCCGGGGCATCAGCAGGTGCAAGCGCCGGCGAGAAGGCAGGCCGCTTCCACGAACGGGGAAAACAGGCAGTCGGGAAATCCACCCGAACGATGCCATGGTCCGAAACGGCAGGCAGTCGAAAAGTTCGCACGTGACAAGCAACCAGGTTCTGGTGAGTCACAGCAAAGTCGATGCGACAGGTGTTGGTGGGGTTGGTGTTGGGATGCAGAGATCCCCCAGTATCATCGGCGGCCCGGATAGCCCCAGTGGCAAGCATAGCCGCAAGTGAACCTTCCATTTGGGTGATGTTGTAATCCCCCAGAACCACAAAGGGTCCGCCGAAAGTGGCCACGGCAGACATGAGAGAATCGAAGGCGAGTGAAGTCCGGGGGCGTCGCCCGGGTAGCCGTAGAAAGAGACCACAAGCACCGAGGTAGGGCCCTCCAAAATTGGCCACACCACCACCCTGGCTGCAACCCGGTCGGCACAATTGAGATCGGGCAGCTGAACAGGTCTGAGTGGCAAGCAAGAAGCCAAGGCAACACGGTGCATGCCACGGGAGTCCACAGGGCTAAGCACGGCCTGATATTTATGCCGTCTCCAGGCCGCAACGAAACCAGCCGCCGAAAGTGGGTTGATGTCCGCCTCCTGGAAGGCTGCAATCTGCACCGATTCCTGAGAGAGCATGGCCCGCACAGCATCGACCGAGGCGATGCCTTTGCGAGCCAGGTTGCACGTCAAAAGGGAGATGAACTTTGCGAGGGGAGCTCCTTCACAGCCTGGCGGGCCGAGGCAAAAATCTCTTCCACCTGAGACCTGGGCATGCCTGGCACTTTGTGGGTCTTGGCCCACTCACTCATAGCATCGAGGCTCCGAAGCGAACGTTGCATCATCCAGTTGGCTCGAAGAGAAGGGCAGGATGCACCAAAATGGGCCTTGACAGTCTTGGGGCCGCGGTGGCGAATGTGGCCACAGCGCCGACACTTATAGTAGCTGGCGAAGCTCAGTTTGACAATGGTACGGGGGCACGGGCCTTTGTGCGAGCGAACAGGCCTGGGCATGGTGAAAGGAATGATGTGGGGCGGCAATTTGAGGCGAACAGCCTCCACATTGCTCTTTCCCAGGCGCAAGGCGCGCTTTTTCTGGGCCGCAGAGTTAGCAGTGGGGGCCCGCATCAAGGTCAGCCACTCAGATCTGGAAACCTCAGGGTGGCATTGATCTTTGTGCTGGCGCTTAAGCTGGTAAAGGCGTTTGGTCGAAATCTCGTTTCGCACTTTCTTCACCCCGGTGCGACACAGTGGGCATCGCCAGTGAAAATCCTCAACCTTGCCACGGCTCGCGAACCATTTGTGGCTGGCTATCTTTGGCAGTTGGCCCTCGCCACCGTGGCACGTATTCGTGTGATGTGCCTTAACGGCGCTCAAGTTGTTTGGGTCGGCTCGGGTGGTGCGGTATGGGCAAAGCTCGCACTTGAACAACAACCGGTACTTCATGTCAGGACCCTGAGGCAGCCGGAAACGGTCAGGCTTGTTGTCTTTGCGTCGGCGGATCTCAGAGTCAGGGACAGGAGGGGCCTCAGGTATGTGGAAGTCTGCGACACTAACTGCATCGGCGGCCCCAGATGCAATCGAGTCTGAGGTCTGATCAGAAGGTCGGTGCTGGGTCCACACAGTTTTGGCGGGCCGGTGTGGCTGCTACCCGAGGCGCTGCACCTTGGCTTTTTATTGCTGGCAGCGGCTGAGGACCACACGGTGCCCGAACGGACCGAGGTTCCAGTCGACGGGTGCGGTCCATCAGCAGGAGGCTGGGCTTGCGGCAGGGATGGCTTGGGCAATGAGTTCCCACTGCACTTGCTGGCCTGTGACCTGGCCTCAATCGAAGGCGCATTCGAGGCTCTGGTCCAGACCGAACCTTCCTCCTCACTGGGGTGGCAACTTCGACCACCAGCTCGCAGATCAATGACTTGACCAGTACTTCCGGAGAAGAGGGCCTCAGGGTAGTGGTCAGTCGGCTTGGTGGGCCTCACCAGAGCGATGTGCTTGGGGGTATACCAAAGCACAATGGCCCTGTGCTTTTGGGCCTTTGCCTCCTTGAACACCATTGTGCCGAAGTTGGCATCTCGGGGGATGACCATCAGGCACACGTCGTAAATCCTGCTAAGAGCTTTGAGCTCCAAGACCGAGCCATAGGCTGATTCCTTTTCGGCTAAGTCGAGGTATTTGGCGAAACCTTCGGCTTTGGTCAGGCTTTCAGCAGCAAGTTGCTCAAGAGCGGGCCCAGCTCCGTCCCACTCATCAACATACTGTGCCTGGTGCTTCCTCAGGTGGGCATTGGCCCGAGCGCGCAGGTCTCGGTGGCAGTGCTCAGTCTTTTTCTTGCCACTGAGCCAAGTGAGCCCTTGGGCAACTGCTCGGTAAAGGCATGAGCCGTCTTTGTCAATATCAACGATTTGACATCCTGTGGGTACCTCTCGCTGGTTCAGGGCCCGATTCTGTGCAGGGGAAGTTTCCTTCCCATCGGCATCGAATACAGCAGGCTTCTCCACCCGAACGAGCTTGCCATCAAGAGGCGAGGTCTTGGCAGGAAGGAGAGGCACCGGGGCGGGCTTCAAGAAGTGCTGTTTGTTGCCCTGAGGCCGGTGTGGAGCAACCTGAGCCCAGAGGGTCATTTCACCTGGAGTGGCAGTGCCATCATCAACTGCCGCCTGTAGTGGCACGACGTCTTTGTCCCCGAAACGGTGCGTACCACGGAATCTGTAAAGAAACTCTCGGGCCGGTACGTCTGTTGTGAATGAGGGTCACTGAGTCAAAAGCCTGGGCCAGGACAGCTTTGACTTCCTCAGGCCCCCAGTCTCCAGGAACGGAACATGGGGGAAGTTCCAGATTCGAGCGGTAGCTTGCTTTGGGTCGCGGGTGGTTCGGGCACCAATGCGACCACCTTGCGCAACTAATCCAAGCAGCGGCGACATGCGTAGTCCCCGCTCGTGGTAAGCACTAGCCGGCTCTTCGTTGCTCTTTGCCAGCCACTGGATTTGCGAAGCAACCGCTTCGCGAGGCGGGTCCAGAAACACTCCTTCCCTGCCACTAGCAGCAAGAAGGCTGGTCAAGTCCTTCTTGGCGGGGATCCTGGCCTTCCCAAACAGCTGTCGGCCTGAACGGCCATGCGACTCCTCCAGCCACGACCACGTGTCAGAAAGAAGCACCTTTTGATCAGCAGCCCACTTGGCGATCATGCGGGTCGGGTTTGTACGAAAACTCTTCCATTTCTCGGCACTCAAGTAAACCTCCGGGATGCGGATGGAAATGGCACAGGTCTCGACCGGTGCAACCTTGACAGCCGTTGCTTTGTGTCCTGCATAGCCGGCTGCAGCCTTGCCTGCCGAGTGAATCTGAGCAGTGTTGGCCTGCCTGAAACGGAGCATGTTACCCACCCGACCGGGGATTCGAGTAGGCCCATCCTTGCACAATTCAATGAGCATGACTCGGTGAGGCTTGGCAGCGCCTCTCAGAATCGTCGCCACCTTCTCAAGCTCAGCCTTGGGTGCCAGCACAACGGCCTCTAGGGTGGCATCATCCTTTAGCTCGTCGAGCTTTTTTCCAACACTGGCATGGGAAACAATCGGAGCATCCCAGTCCTGGGCTCTGAGCTCGAAGGGCTCGGTTTCACGCCTTGAGACTTGCTGCCACTCATCAGTAGTGGTGTCTGCTGACGCCGCCAGGTGTGATGTCGCAGCTGAGTTGGTCCCAGCTCCTTTCCCCTTGCGCGGGGGAGTGACAGCAGGAGTCGTGCCGCGACCTCGTCCAGAGTCTGGGTTTTGAGTCTCTGGCTGCTTCCGCTTGTGGTCCTTGCCTGCACCTTTATGCCTCTTGGCTCGCGGTTCCCCTGGGTCGGGGTCTCGGGTGCCGTCTGATCCGGTGCGAGCAGCTGCGGGGAGTTGGCCGGCAAGGGCTGACTGCACCGCCTTTTTGACAAGCTCAGTAATCAGAGGCATCAGCTGGGCTGTCAATCCTTCGAGCAGGCCTTCAAGTCCAGTGGGGGCGCCACCGCATCTCAACAGTGGAATCTGCACCTGAGGGGTGGGCATCTTGCAGTGGCACGAGGGCGATTCGGGTACCCCAAGTGGCCTAGACCCACAACCACGGGGTGGGGGGGTGTCAGGCAGACACGGGGCAGAGGGGCGAGGGCCTGAACCCAACCTAGGGCAGGGAGAAAAGGCATTCGGCGGGGGTGAAGACACGGGTACCCTAACGGGAGAGGACCTAGAACCGTCAAGGGGGGACAGGGGGCAATGTAAAGCACACGGGCCATCATCACCACCATCTCCTCCATCACAAAGGTCCCAGGCGCATGGTCTGTGCAGGCAAGGTGTGTCAGACCCTGCCTCTCGCGAAACTGCGTTGACTTCGCCAGCGTCTTCTTCTAGAATATGCTGGTGATTGCATAGCATCACAGGTGCACCCTGGACCTTAGCATCTAAGGGCCAGCATGTGGGGCCGTCGTCGCCCCCATCACCTCCGTCAAACATGTCTCCTGCTGCGTCTTGGCCAGCCGTAGGTACAAGGCGCGATGTGCCTTGCTCCTCTGTCTCAGAACGCCGGTTGTCTCCACCTGATCGGCCACAGGTGGGGATTACCTTCCATGGAGGGAGACCTCCCTCGCTTGTCCACGTCGCCTCCGGCTGGAGGCCATATTCTCGGTGCTGCCTCCAGAACATACTGGGGTAAGGCCAGGACCGGCAAGCATCGTTGTCGTCCTTAGCAATTTGAGCTCTGCCATGCACGATCATGGCTGCATAGCGCTGAAGCGCACACCAATCCCCAGCAGCCAAACTGGCTGCACGGCTTCTCCGAAAACCCAATCCGGTTTGAAGCCAATGGTGCTCGAGCAGCCTCGAAATGCCGAGCGATTCCTGCAGTGCATGGTTCATCTTTCGCAGTCGGTACAAGAGCTGCAAATGATGTCTAGAGCCCCCAGAAGAAGGAGCCATTGCGAGAACACGGGCGAAGGAGTTAGCCCGCCAGTCGAGGATGACGGTGGACAGCTCAGCTAACGTGGAAGCCTCCTCCCTTGAGCCCATGCAAGAACACGCGGGCAGCCCTGCACGACAATCGAAGATGCGACGGCAACTGTAGTATCGCAAACCAAGTCCACCCAAAGCTGGAAACAGAGACGCGGAAGATCGAGCAGGA